CTCTCTCTCTCTCTCTCTCTCTCTCTCTCTCTCTCTCTCTCTCTCTCTCTCTCTCTCTCTCTCTCTCTCTCTCTCTCTCTCTCTATGTGTGTGTGACCAGCTCAATTGGTCAGTTGGAAGGGTGAAAACTCGAAGCCTAAGGTGGTCGCCGCGACAGGTGGTGCCCACTCCGGCGTGCAGCACGTTCGAAGGTTACCTCTGTTGGGCATGTCTTTTCTAAATCCGGGACCATAAGTTGGCCTACCGTCTTCACCCGAATAGAACGCCCGGTCATTATAGCCGTATTTGGTGCACTTTTCAGTCCAGATACAGCTATAATAACCGGGCGTTCTGTTCGGGTGAAGACGGTAGTCAACGGAGGACTGGCTGGCATATGATAGCAAGCGACTCCAGAGTCCAACAGAGCGTTTTCAGGTCATCTGGCCAACATGGATGTGGACATGCAAGAGGGGCAGATTCCCAATAGCATTGTGTGCAGTACTGGCAACCAACCGTCACAATGCAGGCCTGAAGTTGGCCCACGGCTACCCTGGGGGCCAGAACAATGGTGCTCTCTCTAAGATGGAGCTGAAGTATGGGACAGTTGGGAAATTGCAGTCTAGCAAAACAGATCCAGAGGTGGCAGGAGAAGTCAATTGAAGTCTCGCGGCCGCCGTGTCGTTAAGAAGTGGGAGAAGGGGGGAGGGGGGGGTATAGCTCGATCAATCTGGTACGGATTGTGTGTACGAAGCAGGTCTGCTGATTTTATCTGTGAATTGGTGGGGGTGCCTGGTCATTTGACGACTTAGCAGCAGACGACGAAAGATCAGCACAAATTAACAGATAACAAAAAGAAGAATTGGGGGTGCTGATTCTTTTTTTAACGAAAAGAAGAATCGGGGCTGCTGATTTCTTTTAACAGAAAGAAGAATTGGGGGTGCTGATTCTTTTTGTTAACACTTATATACAGTATACGAACAAGGTCGCACAGGGATCGGCTCGGCTCGGCTCGGCTCGTCTGCTAAGTGTATGTAAGGCCTTCTGACATCAGACAAAGGTTCACCTTACAGGTGACCCATAGATTTAACTTCCTACTGTCTTCACTTGCGAATAGAACGCCCGGTAATTATCTCTGTGGGTCTCGCCGCAAGGCACACGAAACGAAAACGAAACGAGTGCATCTGCCCAACAAAGGTGGCAAAATACACTCGTTACCATTTATAGCAAACCGATGAACCTGGCCATTTTCTGCCGGAAGCTTCATTCGTTTCGTTTTTCATTTCGTGTGCCGTGCGGCAACACCCTCTATCTGAATGTTGCCCGAAATACAGCTGTAATGACGGTAGTTACCAAGTTAGTTTGTCCGAATCGAATGCCCGGTAATTATCTCTGTATCTCTGTATCCATTCGGATGAAGATGGTAGTTACCAAGACGGTAGTTACCAAGACGGTAGTTACCGAGACGGTAGTTACCGAATCGATACAGAGATACAGAGATAATTACCGAGACGGTAGTTACCAAGTTAGTTTGTCCGAATCGAACGCCCGGTAATTATCTCTGTATCTCTGTATCGATTGATTCGATTCGGATGAAGACGGTAGTTACCAAGACGTTATTTACCAAGACAGTAGTTACCAAGACGGTAGTTACCGAATCGATACAGAGATACAGAGATAATGACCGGGCGTTCGATTCGGATAAAGACGGTGGTTACCAAGTTAGTTTGATCTCAAAAAAAAAAGAAAGAAAAAAAAGAAGGTTTGATCTGAACAGTGCCGGAAGAATCGTGAAGATTGTTGAGAAGACAAGTAGTACCTGCCTTGCAGCTGAATGTTATATACAAATAAGACCGTCGATTCACAAACGATGAGTTGAAGACCTGTCCAAGCACATAACGTAAGGGTGTAGCCCGTCTTTTTTTTCTTTTTCATTTTTTTTTTTAAATTATAAGAAGAAAAGCCTTGTTCTCCTCATGTATGGGGGACAGCTGTATTCAGTATGTGATTTTCTTCGGCTCACCTACTCCTACCCATCCGCGTTGTTGCCCGTACCTCTCCTGCCGCGGCCGCCTCAGCCTCGTACACCATACGCTTGTGGGGACGAGAGAGAAATGTTCCCAAGACTACGAGGGGGCCTACTATAGTATAGCATCCATTACACTCATTGCTTTCTATTTTCAACGACTACTCCGTTGAAAATGGACCGAAATGAGGAGGAAGAGGAGGAGGAGGAGGAGGAGGAGGAGGAGGAGGAGTGTTGATGACAGTGGAATGTATACTATAATATAGACCCCTCACAGGCTTGGGAACATTTTTCTTTGCTCCCCATGAGCATATCTTGTTGAAGGCTGTGAGGAGGAGGAGGGAGGATGGGAAAGGGCGGCAACGGGGATGGGAAGAAGTAGGTGGTGGCAGCAGCAGAGGAGAAGTAACTGAAGTAGTACGGTTCTAGTACCTCTCCCGCTCTTCTAGTACCTGGCAGGCTGGCACTCCACTCTCAGTTGAGTTGTGCATCTACCGCCGCGGCGATGCAAGTGCTATATTTTGAAACTGTGAAAATGGGAACATTTTTTTCTTACGTCCTTCGTAACATCTGCTAAAAAAAAAAAAACAAAAAAAAAAAACCCTGCTAAAATTGGAATGATACGGAGAACATGAAGATGGCCACGGAATGGGAATCGCACACAAAAAATGATTGAAAAACCAACCATTACACTGCCATTACTTCAGCAATTTTTTTGACGAGACAAAGACGGGATCGTTTGTTTGTTGTCCGTCTGACCGTCGGCCTTTGCTGAGTTTGCTCCTTGCCTATTTACTCCCTTGGTATGCGTTGATCTGCAGCCGGCTTGTTGTTTTGTTAGACAGCGTAAAGAAGCTGCATTTACGCCGTAAGAAGGCGGCCAGGCGGAAGGTGAATCGGGAAGAGAGCGTTCCTGAGACACAGCCAGGAGGAGGTCTATCGGAAATAGAAGACGATGAAGTTCTGGATGCCGGTGGCAGTACAACTACTGCGGCGCGTGATCGAGCATACCTTCGGCGCAAGCGACAAGTGGGCAGGCAGGGACAAAAGCCTCGGCGGGCAAAGAAGGCTGCCGATGTCGTGTACGGAAGTGCTGTGAGGAATAAACGGAGACCGAGCGTTCCCAGTCGTACAGAAGCAGTGGACCATGAATCTGACCATGAATCTGATCCTTATGCGTTTGAAACCGCTGACGAGCATGGAGACAAAGAGAATGTCGTTGCAGGACAGAGACAGAATGCTAAGGAGAAGGAGGGAAGAGTCCAGCAATCCACCCCTAGGAGGAACGACAAGCAGGCTCGAGGTTCATCTGGAAGAACCTCCACCTCGCCTACTTTCAACTCGCACTCCACAGGGCTAGAGTCATGTCCGCTGAAGCGCAGAAGAGGCTTTCAAAGTACCCCAGGGCAATGACGGGCATGTCTCCGTTGTTTGTTGCAGAGAAGGCAGCATCATCTCCGCTAACCATCAGGCGACATCAAGGTCCTTGAGAAGATACATCACTCCCAAGCGTATAGCGCCGTTTCAAGTTTCAACATGCTCTTGCTTGCCTGTGTGATATCCGCTTGTATCGTACTCTTCTTTCGCAGAGACTTCTCACATGTGTCGCGTCCGCACTACGCTTCAATTGCACACACACACACACACACTCCTCATCTTTCCCTGCATTCCCTTTCTCTCTCTCTCTCTCTCTCTCTCTCTCTCTCCCCTTTGTATTGATTTGCTTTCTTGTAGGCACATACAGTCTTAGTCTGCACTGGCTTCATTTCTTTTGCTCCCCTATTATTTCTCCTCCCTGAAAAAATTGTCAGTAGAACTCACTATGACTGTTTGCCGTGCATTGCCTTGCCTGAAGGTCACCTCATCCTGCAGGAAGTTTTCTGTTTTTTTTTTTTTTTTAATTAATTAATTAATTGATTTATTTTGGAAGTTTATCCTAATGCCCATGCAAAATGATGCAATTAGTGAATTTTATAATTTTATAAATTTATAAATTTATATATTGTAATCATATTTACTGCCTTGGAGCCTTCGCATGAATGTGGTTTGCAATTTTGGTTGCAACTGGCATCTGAGTATTTTTTTGGGGGGCATACGATTTGACGCCACTTGCCCTGATGTGGTTGCAGAGATCTCACCCCCGAAACACACACACACACACACACACACACACA